GGGGGGGGGGGGGTTAAGTCCTGACCCTGCTCTGTTGCAATAAGCTGAGAGTGGAAAAAGTGGTAGAGAAAGAAAAGAAAGAGGAGCAGAGGGAGGGGGGAGCGGTGTGCTGGAGAGGAAAATAATAAGGATAACTTTAGTCCTTGGAGGTGAGGGTCTCTCCACTGTAGTCCGGGGGGGTCAGCGGCAGCAGCTGTCCTGCTTGACCGACTCTGATGAAGCTGCAGATTCACGCCTGCATGAATCATCCCGCTCCATTCTCCTCCTCTGCTCCCACCTGGACTCCCTTTCACAAAGAGAGGGGATTCCTCCTTTAGGCCTCTTTCTTCAGCACTGAGGCAATCAGACTGTTGAACACGCAGAAGGAGATGAGACATTTTAAATTAGTGTTAGGAGAAAGGGGGAGAGAGAGAGAGAAGGGGGGGAAATGACATTTTTCATTTTCTACAATAAAAGGTACTACATTGAATTCTCGGAGCATAACAATACGGAGGAGTAAGTAATGGAATAGGAGCAGACGTGGTGTCTGTGTGTTAGCGGATAATGAGGAATTTAAAGATGTACGGTCGCCTGCTGCCATTCACTCACACTGTAACCCTGTCACTGTCACTGGCCCGAGTCTCAGCACTGTCACAATACTGCACACAGACTCAAACTTCTCTAGTCATCCAGAAGTGGGCTTAAGGGGGTTTGGGCATTAGCGAATAAAGAAAAAAGCACCTGTTAACATACTTTATCACAGTAGTATTCCATGGAGTTTGACTTGTAGGTTGATTACCACTGAGGTTGAGAGGCCCTGAAAACAAAAAGCATATTAATAACAAAATGGCACTCATTTCAGACCATATCGTTTCTGTAAAATGTGTTTGTAGTCTTGATTTTTCTCAGCTAGCGAGTTTTGGTTTAAGTGTGTTTATAGTGTGCTCATTTTTTCACTGATGGCTCTTGTAACAGGTTGGGGATGAGGATGGGGAAGCAGAGAAATACTTGTGTCACAGATTATGAGGATTAAAACAACCAAATGAAATACACCATACTGTATGTCAGAGAAAAACATTCTTCCAAGAGTAAAAAGCTAGACTCAAATGGGATTTATATTCTGCTGAGGAACTCATTTGACAGCAAAAACAGCTTCAAGGACTGTGCGAATGTCATAATAGTATCTCAAGGAATCAACAGGACTATCTGTATGTTTTTCAAAGATCTTCAAAAACCCTTATCCTCAGGGTCGCCCTATAGACATGCCGATACAGTATGTGTCAAATTGTTTGTTTGATAAATTGCAAGGTACAATATCAATCTATAAACTCACCTGTATTAACTACTTGTCTTGTATAAGGGCCCTGTAATAAAACATTTGTTGAAGCCCAGGGCTTCCTATGAAGGGTTTTTTAAGACGGTGTAACCAAAATGCTTTACCATAAATATTAAAACAGGTGAAACACTAGTAACAGAAATAAGACCATCAGTAGCAGTTAATCATTTCTGCAGAATTTTTATCTTAAGAATTTAAACTCAAAAGTCTGATTTTCAAATATCAAATAGTGTATATCTACATGATAAATTCATATTCGTGCCTGTTTCCTCGTACTTTCTTAGTAAAATAAGTAAAGTAGATCTGAATATTCTTATACTTTGACATGTTCTTGGCTTTGTTCTGAATTGTAACACTGTTGAGCACTCATGTCTTTATGAGCTATGCGAGGTGTCCAGGAAAATGAATATGTTTACATGGCCTCAGCTACCATTAAGAAGACTATGGTCTTTTGTATTTTCTTAAGGAAATGTGGGTTTTTAAACAATCTGTGGAGCTGTTTTACACACAAGTCTTATTTCTGAGGTCAAAGACATAAATGAAACATGGCCATTTCTCTACTAAAATGGTGTTCCTGACATTGAGGGGAAGGTTTTGAAATAGCATTTTTGAATATCTTCTCTAGAGAAACAAGACAACTTCCAGAATGATGTTTTAAATGAATAGCCAAAATATTGAAATAGAACATTTCAGCCTTTTTCTGCCTGATCGGGGAGTGTAGGGGTCTCACTTGTGGCCTTTAAACTTAGTATTTCGAAAATCCTATGACAGCCAACAATGTGCCTATTCATGTTTTCACTTCATCGTCCGCAGTTTTGGATCACCCTAAATCTGTTTTATATGGTTCAGTAATCTAAAATAAACTAATCTGATGCATTAAAT